GTGTGCGATTCAACGAGGGTTCGAGTAAACGAGGGTTCGAGTAAACGAAGGTTCGAGTAAACGAGGGTTCGAGTAAACGAGGGTTCGAGTAAACGAGGGTTCGAGTAAACGAGGGTTCGAGTAAACGAGGGTTCGAGTAAACGAGGGTTCCAGTAAACGAGGGTTCGAGTAAACGAGGGTTCGAGTAAACAAGGGTTCCAGTAAACACTCGTTCTTTATTATCTCATTCACAGTTTAGATTTGCCCTTCCAGTAGTACGACTGCCTTACGGATTCAACAAAATTCACTTTAGGGACGTTTACGCTCAAGGCAACGTTTTAACATTTGTTGTTGAAAATAAACAGGTTTCGTCTGGAGATATGAACAGCAGCACCCACGCCACGTCGTTTAACGCGGGGGGTGGCAAGGCTAACAAAAGTGGGGGTCAAGGCTTCTTTTCCCTTTTATTGCAGCTTTGAAATAATTTGCTTCGGAAAAAGGTAGGGAGGCCATGGCTACCCTGACTCCCTGGTGGCGTGGACCAAAGTTGGTATAGCAAAATGCATTCAAGATAAGTCAATTTGTGGTCATTTGAAGTAATCCTTGAAGTAAATTAATCTAAGGTCTCAGAAGCATTTTCGCCTGATTCTCATTCTTTAAAATGGGCAATCGATTTCCAAAAAGGGGCACCAGACTTGCTTCACATCGGCGAGGGGTGGCAACTGTTGCCCCCCCCCCCTTTAAATTTGCCACTGTACCCAAGTGTGGAATTCCTGAAACTCTTGAAACGCGTTTAAAAAAATAAATTAAAATTCGAACATAAACAAAGATTCGATACTGAAAGGAGGATGGTTAGGCTTGCTAAAGTTCCATTCAACTCTGTGTTAAGTGTTTATAATCTCTAAATTCAATTCACGGTAATTGCCATTGCGATATACCAAGTCGACTTACGGCCTCGTTTTGGAGATTTCTCCGAATCTAATTTTACCACTTTTTAAGCTGATACGTGGTTTTGTCACCAAAATTATAGACCGGGTACAATTTTTCATATTGTTTGTGCTTGTATTTTAGATTCTACAGAAAAATTAATTTTGAAAACTTAGAAGGGATTTGACCGCAACAATCGTTCCTGGTGAAACTTCACACCACTAGCCGCCAAGCACGGTCAAATCCCTCGTAGGGAAAATCACTCTTGAAAATGGTGTACGAGATAAATAACAATTGGTGATTAATTTGTGATTAAAACAATATTGTGTGTCATTACTTTGATTTTTAGTGATAAACGTGATTCATTTTTTATTAATTTTTGATTCTTTAGAAACTGAATCATAGATTCAAAAGTGCTTTTTAAGTAATTTCTTGCTCAATAAACGTTGTCAACGATTTTGCAACATACTATATGAAATTGAAAAAATATAGGCAGTTCAACACAGGGTTAGATCCAGAAGAAAATTTGACTTTTGCAGATTTGCCAACGAAAAAGGTACAAAAGTTTAATAACATTAACAACTAAAAACAGAGATATCTTTTCTGAACAGCAGCATAAGCAAAATATTAAATCAGTATTATAGGTTGGTGACAGTAGCCTGAAATGAAAAGCAGCGAAAAGTTGTTGATGACTTTGAATGAGACATTAAGGCATGTTTTCTGTTCTTTGGGCTGCTACTTTTGTCATAAGAATTTGAATATGCATCAAAAAAGCTATCTTTCCTAAAAAATAGCAATAGCAACATGGACACAAACAGCCTGGAATGAAAAAAACAGTGAACAGCTGTTGAACACGTTGTGAAAACATTAAAACAAATGCATGTGCTCTGCTCTCTGCCCTCGCAAGTGATATCGCTATTGGGAAATTAAACTGTAATTTTTGAAACTTTCACCGATATAAGAAATTACAAGTTCCAGAAATATGGAACCTGATTACCAAACTTTATCTGTGGAAATTACAAGAATCTGACATTAATCATTTCCCATAAATGTAACAGTTGCAACTGCGAAATCTGGATCTCTCTGGATCCGCCCCTGTAGCAATGGGTTAAAAATGACTGCTATTAGGCGTGGTTTTCAGTCAGCATCTAGGCGACAAAAACAGCAATGGTTGTTTCAATGACCCCGGCATCATAACGAGGTCTTCATTTTTTGCTCCATTGCAGGGTACAAATAAAAGCTTGTTGTTCTCGAGAGTGATTGTGCAGATTTTCTAATGTGTTCATGAAAGATTGGAATAGTGTGAAAGGGAAATTCTAGATATTGAATTTTTCAATAACATATCCGGATAAAAGTGGGCAAGGATTCTAACATTCGTTTTAAGTAACTTTATTAATGTTATACTTTGTGAATAATTTGATTTTGTATCAACGTGATTAATTTGTGATTGAAGTGTGATTATTCTTGAGAGCGTACGTGACTTTAAGCAGTGATTTGCCCCTCGAAATCCCTTGTAAAATTCTTATCTTTATGTCGTCATAAAATCAATATCGTGAGCAACACTATAATGAAAACTTCCAAGTAGACTAAAATCATTGCTCTCAATCTGAATCTGACGTCAAAAAGTCGAATTGGTGTATAGATACATAGGCCGAGCCGAATTGCACCTAACCTACTACAGCAAAACAAAACGGCGTGATACTTGATTAACTAAAAAGGCTGCAACGTTAATTATCGGTTGGACATTGACACAGTTCCTGGTTTCTACAAAAAAGATCCAAGGCCACAAAAGATGCGGTTGTTGGTATTAGTTTTTGAAATTGCTAAACACTTGTATCCATAGAGATAGTCTTATTCCAGTCATTCGAAAGCAAGCGTCCTTCAGAAATACCAAAACCAAACGTCAGAGGAGATTTGAAAGAACTGCATTGTTTTGATCGGCTAAACGAAATGACGCAGGTAAAGCATGTGGTAAACAGTACAGGTTTGCCAAGAATTCCAACAATCAACAAGAAGCAGAAACCGTGAGTCTGAATGATGACTGGAGGAATTGGATGACTGGTGTCAGAGGAGGGGTGATCGGCGAGTGCCCCCAGCCTTTGCTAAATTGTCGGATTTTAAGTAACAGTTTTGATAAGTTTTGTCATTTCTCAAATTTGCTTGTTTTCGTGGGTTTTGCTACCAATCCCCTCCCCCTCCCCCGACCTAGGTTCAGGACAGGGACGGATTCAGATCAAACTTGAAGGAGGGGCAGTTGGTAGTGGGGGCGCTAAAAATTTTTCAAAAATTGATGACGAGAGAACGCTGTATACAACAATTTCAAATCAATTTTCGGAATAAGCAACATAACTTTTAAGTAATCCTTGAAGCAAATTAACCTATCGGTCTCAGAAACTTTTTCACCTGATTCTCATTCTTCAAAAGGGGCGTACAATTTCCGAAAAAGGGGCATCAGACTTGCTTCAACTCGTCGAGGGAGGGGCAACTGCCCCTAGTTGCCCCCCTTTAATCCGCCACTGGTTCATGAAATAAAATTGATTTAGCACTTCATTTTTACTTGATAGTGGTTTGGAATATAATCTTGAATGGATGTAGGAAATTCAGGTAAGAAAAACAAAGCTTTTAGTATCATGTTATCACGTTTTTTTCGAGCAATTTTATTGATCGGAGCGGGCAGAACAAAGAAATTCAATGAGATCAGTAATAAGGAAATAGAGTTAAAGCAGTGGCACAGGTGAAGAATCAAATCGAACTGTCAGCTCAACAAAGGATAAAACCTCTTCAAAATTGAATATTGAAAAGCTCTTTTAATCTAGATTGTGAACTTTATCCAGCTTTGACTTTTTATCCTCATTTTATTAAACAGATTGTTGTATCAACAGTAAATTGTGAATTATATCTACTGATTATTTTGAAGACGAAGCTGAACCATTATATATGCTATGATGCTAGTTACGTTGCATGTTCCGTTGCTTCGCTCGATTTTAATATATTATTAAAGCTATTTTTACAAGATCGAGCAAAGAAGTCTGAAGTTTATTGATTCAGATTTATACGGCCCAACGTAATCTCGATCCTAAATTCATGTCTAAAAAATTCTTGTGAGAAGAAAATTCAATTTTGATAAGAGACCAATAATAATTTAAGTTAATTATTACCACAAACAATACTTAGGTAAGGTTAAGACATTAGGTACAGTTGTGACAGTTTTACTCCCATAAACGAGACTGTTCTACTTGTTTTTAAGAGCTACAACTGATGATAATCTAAAATATTGTAGAGTAAATTCCCTTACTGAAATATAACACTGGGAAGACGGAGCATGAGGCCGTGCAGGGTGCAGGGGATGGGATGCAGGAGGACCAAGGGGGCATTTCTCCTTGCCGTCGCAAAAATTAACAGTATCCTAAACTTTGCTAACTTTTGATCTTTTTCTTGGTGCTTCCCCCCTGCCCTACAACTTTTTTCTTTATCCCTATAACCCGATATGTAATGTTTGCAAAACATTTAGTCATAAATTTTTAGCCATTGTCATGCAAACATTGAATATATGAATTATTGCTAATATTCATTTATTGTTCTCTAAGCGTATTGAGTTTTCATATTTAAGAGAAGGCTGCATGGCATTACGAAGGCTAAAGGGAATCGATTATGTCACGTGATTGGTGACATCCAATTCAACGCATCGAAGGAAGCATCTTTTGAGAAGTCGACACAGGACCTGAGGATGGACGCTTAACACTCGTTAGAAAATCATTCATGGAATATGTTAGTTCAATATAAATATCGCCGCATCGAAGATTCTGTACACATATAAATATATTGGAACACCCGCTGTATTTTTTTGCATTTATCTTTTAATATATTTAATAAAACAAGAACCAGGAACCTTTTGGAGTTTCGCCTCTATTCGAGGACGAAACGTTAACACAGCACAGGATTATTCTTTTAATTCCCCACAAAGGCAAATGATTAATCCAAACAAATTAATCCTGATGCAAAATCACAACCAGATATTACTGAATTTGAAAGCAATGGAGAGTTCATTAGAAATCAGAATTTGCAAGGCTGGAACGAGAACTCAACTACCCCCCCCCCCCCTTCCTTTGATAAGTGAGCACATGTTGGGTTGGACGAGTTATGTATTGACAACCAATTTACTATGCAACAGACCTTTCGCGAAATAGCAATTTCCTATCAGTTTTTTTGAGTCGATAATTTGCTTGGATGACTTGATATACACAACAGAGAATCTGTTACGCATATGCAATTAAATTTGGTGTGGTCATGGCTGTGGTTATTGATATGGCTTTTAGCAATTGCCTAAAGAACAGTCCCCTCGTCTAGGAGGGCACCTCTGCTCACTCATATCCCCTTTCATTTTTCCCACTTCTGACTCTAATCTTCAGCCATTCCAACCTTTGCGATGCACTCACACCTTCAGAACCCACCAATCACATTACACTATTGTAAACTTCGAGGGCAAAACATTGCTTAAAATCACGTACGCTCTCAAGAATAATCACACTTTAATCACAACTTAATCACATTAATAAAAAATCAAATTAATCACAAAGTATAACATTAATTACAAAAGTTACTTAAACAAATATTACAATCCTTGCCCACTTTTATCCGGATATGTTATTGAACAATTCAATATTTAGAATTTCCCTTTCACACTTTTCCAATCTTTCATAAACACGTTGGAAAATCTGCAAACAAACGCTCGAGAACAACAAGCTTTTATAAGAACCCTACAATGGAGCAAAAATGCTTTCATCCACAGATGTTACTGTAAAATTTTCGAGTGATTTAAGGTTTGTTTTACATAATGTAGGTAGATTAAAGCACCAGAACTCTTAAAAATATGTCTCAGAAAGAGAATTGGCTCCGTTACTGATTTTAATCAACCTAGAACCTACGTCTCTCAGCTAATTCGAAGAAGATCGGTTCCGCATACAGAGGGTTGTAATTTTATTACAAAAAAAGCGTTTTAATTGAGGCCAATATTCTCAACCGTCAACTGTTAATCATGATGAGGCCGATAACGATTCATAACACGGGTGAGCGCAGCATAGGATGCAAAAATGTACAGGAATTATGACAAAGCATCCAATCGGTGTCTGAGCATAGAGTTCTCAGGTGTGACGTCACGAAAACTATTTGTAGAATTTTTGAATTTGACCTCAGAACATAAAGAACACCATGAAATACTCCCATATATGTAAAATCAGTTAAATTTGCCAAAATCGGGTGAGCTATGGCTAATAGAAGGTAAGACCCCATGATTTTGTGATCGCAGTGGATTTTTCAATCCATCCTTCTTTTGTTTTGATGGAAACTGTACGCAATTTTTATGGTCGGGAATCTGGCTTATTTTCGAGATATATACACAAGTTACAATAAATATTTTCGTCAGGAAAGAACTGGCCTAAATCATGGATTATTTTAAAGTTCCCTTCCACCAGACACCACGCACAATTCTAAAGTGGGTGGGCTGAAAAGGGCGTGACCAAGAATTTTTTATGACACGCCCTTTAGAACGCCGGAAAACGCCCCTTTTAGAAAATACTTCCTTCTTTCCACTTATTTTTCATAAACAGTCCAATTCAGAGAAGGCATCAATTGCTATAAAAAATATAACAAGATAAGCCACCAAGAAATGAACAAAAAACGGTGGCTCCTAGTCAAGACGAACTGTTGAAAATTTCCAAATTTGCGTTAAAGTTATCTTTCTAAAAATTTATAACCTATTATTGCAAAAAAGTGGGGGTGGGGCTAGAGCCCCTGCTAGCTCTATGGCTGCTCGGTGCCTGCCTTCCTCCACAGCCCTTCCTGGTTCTGGTGTATTTGTGCAAAGACTCTGGATATGAATCGTATATGTGTAATTTATGTTAACACCGTAGGATATGAGCTTTTTTCTAGCAATTTTTCTTTTTCACTCGTTCCTCGTTATTAAAATCACGGAAACAACCAAGTGCGGTCATCCAGGTTTTTCAGGAAATAACTTGTAACTTAACAAAAGCATTTTTGGAAACTGGAAGCAGCTGTGGGAAACTGGCTGCCGCAAGACGAGAAAAACTGGGAGCAGCTGTTTTTTTAAAAATTCTGTAAACCAAACACTAGATAAGATTATACGCATGCATGGTGTTCACAATGAAAAAGCTTTTCCTGGACGGAGCATGGTATAGCGTGACATCTTTTCATCTCATCAATGCTCTGCAAAGAAAAGCCAAAAGTTCTCTGACCTGTGCTCCAGACCTCTTCCTTCAGGTTGGGGGTCTGGAGCGCAGACAAAGAGCTCTCGCGAATAACAATCCTATTTTCGTCCTCACGCTTCTGCTTCACCGCAAATGCTTCAGCGAACACCTGTTGTACAAAGTCGTGTTTTCTGGAGATGTTTAATGTCTGCAAGTTATTTGGCAAAAATACCGGAGGAAAATATTTCAAGGAAAATGTCACGTTTGCATTTTCATTGACATGAAGAAAAGTATCGACGTGAAATATTCAACCACTGACTCCCTAAACAGCGTATTTTGTTGTTCAAAATGAGAAAGGTTTCTCTCCGAGAATCTTTTTTTACAGGAGACAGCTTGAATCGTTTTTATCGTAATGTGAGCCAGAAACCTTTAAGGGGGAGCTATACATAAAATTGATCATTTTTTGTACATTTTTAAACCTTTGTTATTCCAATATCGTACAACATATAGATTTGACCTATATCTCATCTGACAAGGGAACCTTACAGGTCTTAGGTGGAGAAAAATAATTTGAAAAGCACCCCCCTAAAATGAGGAAACGCTTGCTTGAAGTTGAGGACTTCGTGGATCAGAATTCAAGGTGGATGGTTGCCCCACCAGCTTAATTCAAGAAATATATGTTATAGAGGTATGAAATTTAATAAAAACAAAGCTGAAATGATAAAGAATGCCCCAATGTGAAATTTTCTGATAATTCAATTTCGTTGCCATGGTAACTACCAATAAGGGAGGCTTTTGCAATAAGTATAAATTTTAGGACAGCCTTAGCAAATTTTTGAAAAAGGGCTCATAGGGGCATAACTACATACATGAAAAGTATTTCTGCCAAATCTTTTGCTAATATCTTCAAAGGTTATGAAAATAATCATATGGGGCAATCACCTGGTATCAAAAACAGGCGTTTTGAGTAAATTGCGATTAAAGTTTATCAATGTTTCTTCGAATGTTATTCAACTGGCAAATTTTATTTTAATTCAATTTTTGCTTCTTTTTGGGTTTTTACATGTCCTCCTCTGTTTTGCAGCAGATGGTCCATGATCCTCTTCATTAAATGCCCCTGCCTCATATGTCACCCCTTCCAACCTCTTCAGCCGTTCTTCTTCTCGAAGCTTTGCTTGACGTATAACTTGTCTGGCTCTTTTAAACTTTTGTCTCAGTCTTGCTGATGACTGTGCAATCCTCCTCTGGTCTTTCTTGTTGCTACCATGTTCTGTATGGGTGCCACTTGGGATACCTAAATTATCCATAAGAGCATGTTTTCCAGTTGCACCAACATTGAATTGCAAAACAGCTGAGCCTGTTGCTACCTCAACAACCTTCATTCCTTTGTTTTGGTGCTTTGGACATCGTATCCAAATCAAAGAATTGAAGGACTCATTCACATTTTGGGAGAACCCTGGCAAGCACCTTTTTAGCAAACTGGTGCTGCTCAAACGGTCAAAGAGAGGTAGCAAAAACTCCAAGAAAACTTCATCAAGATGATATGGCTTATCTACAAATGTTTCATCTGTGTAACCTCTATTGTTCTTATAAGCACACCAGGAGTTTGAAGGACAAAAATAATGTCTCTTTTCTTGTTCTTTCATCTTAATACTGTGATAAAGGACAGCCTTTATATTTTTCTGCATCTTCTCTACTGCTTGTTGTATTTCTTCTTTTGATTTTGCGTCCCTGTCAACAGAGCTTCTAATAGCATTTCCATAATATTTTTGAAGCCTGTCTATTACAGGTCTTGTAAGCCTGCCTTGCCTCCCTCCAACAGCCTTTCCATCTGAAAGCTTTCCACCTGTCTTCTGCATGCTAATTAGATTTTTTCCCATCCTTTTTTGGATGTGACCAATACAATCAAGTTTTTTGACACCATAACATTCCGCAATCCCATTCTCATGTTCATTTTCCCATCTGGTGTATGCTGCAGACTTCAGCCATTTCTGATAATGAAGCGATTTTTTGTCCATTGATGCATTCTTATCACAGTCCTCACATACCCCATAAGTATCCCAAACTTCCGTACAGGCTTTGCTATCTCCATCACACACCATCTCTGTATAACGAAAGTTATGTTTTGATAAGGACCGTCCCCAAATTATCTTTGCAGCTTCCTTCTCCATAGCAGTACTTGAACCTTCAAAGTTCTTTTGGCATTCTCCTTGGCTTGCATGGTTTGCTTTCCATTGCTTGTATTTTTCCAAGTCACCTTTCAATTTCTCAGCAGCCTTACATTTTTCGCATGACTTGGACATAACTGCATAGTCCAACACTTCTCCAGTTTCTACTGCAATTACAACACCTATGCCATAATTTGCAGTAAAGCCTCTCTTGCTCCAAGTACCATCAAATGACACTGCAATGTTTATTGTATCAGTGTCATTTGCTCCTAGGCTGTCTCTAACACGTTTAGCTGCATCACTAAGTGATTTGCCTACTACAAAATTTGTAGCATCACAAATGGCTGTTTTGTGTTGTTGATATGCTCGAAGACTTGGTGGCGGTGGCATGTTTATTACTGCACACATTGTAGATAGGGCTTCTCGTCCAATTCCAATCTCCCCAGCAGCAAACACAGCTCTGCGATTTATATCAAATGATGCCTTCTTCCCTTTTGATTCCTTCCCTGTTGACATGCTAACTTTGGTGTCGCAGCTCAAGCAGTGAAATATGAGATGGGAACATAGGCCTGCACGTTTGGAAACATCTTCTGATAGTTCTATATCCGCCTGTTTGCAAACAATTTTGTGAAATTCCTTCATTGCATTCGTTAAATTCTTTATATAAACAAGTCTATAACCATTGGCATCGTCGTTATTACAAACTTGATCCTGTATTTTTGGAGTAGCTTTAGTTGCAGCTGTTATCTTCCTCAAGGATGCTGAGATCTCGGTATTTTCGGTATCTGAAATTGTCTCAATTTCGGTAATGTTTACTTCTTGAGAAACACGAATATTGGGCGTTGGTGTAGGCCTACTATCCTCAGACTCCTCAGCGCTCTTTTCCTTCAGTTTTTTGCCCTTGAAAACTTTTTTCTTGGTACGATAACTCCTCCTTACTCGATATTTCTTTCCTTGTCTCTCTCCTTTTGGCATTTTATAAATTTTTTCTTGCAAATCGCACAAAACTGGCTTTCAACTTTCAAGTGTTTTACTCCACCCAGGCAGGCGAACTTTACGAAAGTTCCCGTATGAGAAACAGGGAAGCAAGATTAATAGCACATGGAATCAAGGGAGAGAAAAGTAATGGCATTGGCAGGAAGCTTCAAAGTCTGGGGAAGGGAGAAGGGGTTATTGGCAAAGAGTTTTTATTACGTTTCCATGGCAACAAAAATCGAATTTGCAACTACTCTCAGAGAAAGTTGTTTTTTACAGGTTTTGCTGGAAGATATGGACTTGGGGATTGATTAGATGCATAGTCAAGGCTTTGATCTATCACAAAACTCCGAAAACAAAATTTGGTAAAAATTTTCAAAAAAAGACATATGACTACGTATAGCTCCCCCTTAAGCAGACATATTTATGATATTTTGATATTTTGTTAAAAAGACTTTAATATATATCTACAAGAACTCGAGCCAAGCCACTTTTCTCTACCTTGACGCGTCATTGAAACCCTTCGAAATGTTAACACATGACGAGAAACATAAAACTGTATTTTACTATACAGGGTTTTAATTTAAAAAACAAAACAAAATCAGTATGTTGTTGTAACAAGGAAACCTCAATTGCTTACTCAGATGTCCAAGGCAGATGTCCAAGGCAGATGTCCGATATTTAATAAAATGTTTCGAACATCACCATAAAATTCATTAATTCTTGAATAAGAACACTCGAGGCTTAGTACGGATTAGTGCAAGGAATACCAGTCGGGATCAATGTGATACAAATGTTTCCATTTACTTCTGAATTCAACAACCAGCAGCAAATCTTTTAGTAGATAATTCACAGCTGGATATCCGCTTATCTTCTCTCGTTCACAAACAATATTTAAACATTATTTTCATAGTTGTTTTTATATCATATAAAACTTTTTACAATTCATGCTTACGTCTACATCCTACTATACTATCTAATTACTTTACAAAGTGTACAATACTATAGGGACGGGTTCACGGGGAACAAAAGACAATGATTACCCTGATTTTCATAGTTCTTTTAATACTTCGAATTGGTAGTTTATTTTACTTGTGTTATCATTTTATTAATAGTTTTCATGAAAGTAGAGCTTGTCAACTTCCGTTTATAACAATATTTTTCGTTTGCGAAAATTCCTTATTGCAGCAAACAGCAATGGTCAAGATTATCTTCCAGAAAGTAAACATTTATTTCTTTTGCACGAAGCAAGCCTAACATTTTCAGGCACCGCGGGCAGGGGTCTGGGGAAGGGTGCTATAGTCCTCTTATTCAGTTTTAGAAACGGGGGTACGGTTAAACCCCGATCTAGTACAATAATGTATTCTAGTATTAGACAAATCTGCGACAGCAGTTTTAAACGGCAAGATGAGGCACTTTCAAGAATGCTATGGGGAGGGAGTCGAGATCAGTGTTCAGAATTACACTCTTTTCTCTTTCAAGAACAATACCAGGGCAAGAGCCTCAAAATTGGTCAAAAGTTAAGAACAAATCAAGATCAATCCAAGGCCGAGCTACTGTAAAATGCAATTTTGAACAACGTTTTATCTCAAAGACGAGGAGTTTTAACCATGTGTGGGTGCTTTTTCAGTGAATTTAATTTTCAAACTTGTCGGCAAATGAAGGTTGTCTCATTCACTTTGTTGACAAATGAGGCCTGAACAGCTTCCTAGAGCGAAAAAGCCAGCAATCGCACTGCTTACACCCTATTAGTTTAAGAGCAAATTAAGAACAATACAGCCTTAGATTTTCGAAAAAAAATCAAAAACAGTAAGCCTTAACTGAAATTTACTGGTTTTTATAAAAAAAGAGTGTATGTATTGATGGCCAAAGTTTCTCTAGTTTATGCCCTTCCCTCCCCCCGTCCCTCCTCTGTAATTCAAGGGCAGCCCCAGGACATAATTTGGATACAGTAACTAGTCAATATGTTAAACTAAATTTTATTATGCATTTATATTTCGTAAATTGTGGTCAGCATTCGAGATGAGAATTATGGTTGCGACTTGGGTAAAGCAAAGACAACATCGCCAGCAATACAAATTATTAGCTAAATAAAAGTTGCGGGCAGCACCAGGGAAAGACGGGTTTCTCTCGCTCATCGCATGGATTGTTTTTTCTTATTATGTCCCTCCGAAAAGGAAATCTGAACGGGAAGGGTAAAAAGACGATTTAGTGCAAAGAGCTTTTGATCAATTATAAACAATATATTGCATTGAAAAGTATGGGAGCAATGACCTTCTGTCCCTCTTCTGCGCAAATCCTGATAGAGCTTTAGGAACATAGAATGGACAAAAATGAGAATTATGCAACGGTACCGTGGGGGGGGGAGGGGGGGCTCGACGGAGATTCGCTCCATTTGAAAGCGAGCACGCGCTTGGCTGGACGAATTCTGTATTTGCAACCTTTTATTTATGCTATCATTTTTTTGCAAATCAGCGATTTCCTATCAGTCTTTTTGAGTCGGTGAATAGTTTGAATAATTTCATATTAACACATACAAAAGTTTATTGGGTGTGGCGCAGGTCTGGCATCTAAAATTTCCTTTACGCACAGCCCCTCCTCTAAACTACGCACAGCACGATATACAATTCTCTGCTAGAGACAAATTTTGCTCATGCCATATTTATTTGGTTTCCCCTGGAAGGAAAAGTTCGCCGGGCATGTTACACGGGAGGTTATCTAATCGGTCTGCCAACTCTTTCAAATAATTGGGTTCAAACTCAAAAAATCTAAAAGTTTAGTTTTGTGACGTCATCACTGAATAACTATTTTTCTTGTCTGAACGGCGTCCGCTAAATGGAGACACGACTGTATATCTCGTATGCTTGGTTCCCTCCCTGTTCGTCTTTCTAAACACTGCACACGAAAATTTGCGGTTGGTGGATGTTCTATTCATTTAAGAAATCTGTGTATTATTATCAAACAACAAGGTTTTGGACCGCCTTGCTTATCTTAAGTAAGCCATGCCATATCTTTTCATGGCAAAATGAAAGGTTGAAACTTTTGTTATTCAGAACAAAAGGGCACATGAGAATAACCAAGGATGTCACTATCAGAACAGACTATTGCCGTCAGAAACAAAGTCAGACACTGCGCACCAGTCTAAAATCTTTTAAAGCCACTTTTTGGAAATGTTTGCTTGTTTCCACTGACTTTTTATAAAAAATTGATCCTGTCGAGAACTGGGAGGCGTGTCCCCTCAGTCCCCCTGTGGTGCGGCACTGATATGAATTACCTGGTTAGCTTGGTGCTTTATTATCCTTGAGATAAATTTATCTTATTTTATAGTTATTGTCAATAACTATAAAATAAGATAACTATAAAATAAGATAAATTTATCTCAAGGATAATAAAGCACCAAGCTAACCAGGTACATCATATCAGTGACGGCACCACAGGGGGACTGAGGGGACACGCCTCCCAGTTCTCGACAGGATCATTTTTTTAGTTCGTCTAAATCGACGACTATAGCATGTTGGTGCGTCTTGATTATAGAGTACCGAAGTGTGACTTCATCAAAACTCTATTTTTAGAATTTCTTAAATTTTGCCACATAATCTGAAAGAACAGCATAAACTACCTCTCAATATTCAAAATTAGTTAGATATGTTCCAAATTGAGCGAGATATGGCCAATGAAAGATTGCATGTCTGCTAACGAATTTATGTTATTCTGGCCTGGTTCATAAAGTTATGAACTAAGGCTAAATTACAGAGGTTTGATGAGGCAAGAGCCTGTGCTCAAATGGCCATGTCTCAGCCAATTCGCAATGCCTTTAATTGATTTTACATATTTAGAGGTATTTCACGATGCTCTTTTAGGTTATGAAATCAAAATTCAGAAATTCTCAAAATAAATTTTTATGACGTCATCACTTCAGTACTCTATTCGAGGCGGGCAGCTTTGTCGTAAGGCAACTGGTATTTGAAAAGGGCAGTGATGCGGTAATGTATAAGGTTGCTACCACAATAAAAGTTTTAAAGGGCGCTGCACGAACGATTGCGTGACTGATTTACCATGCGGCATCACAGAGAAGGATAAGATAGTCCAAATCATATTATCTATGTGTTCCATTATTCAATAGGTTACAGGTCAAACCGTCGCAATAGATAAACCCAGAAACAGTTGCATAACCCGTGCGATTGCCTCAAAAAACTGGACTCCCGATGCGTGAATTGATACAGTCATACCTGAATTATCTATTGCAGGCGCCATTGAAAAGATGCGGTTTACAATAAATATGCAAACAACACTGAATTCATATCAGATACGCTTTTTCTATTTGTAAAGTTATTCTAAGCGTCGCCTTTAAGGAGGAAATGCACTCGATTCAATGCTCTCAACAACAGATGCAATCAACAGGTCTAAATTCTAATTCCAATCATTGAGTAGGCAGGCATCATTTCTAAACCTCTAAAGCTTTACCAAACTTTCTAATGGCAATTCTGGTACTTATATCAATCGCTTCCGATAGAAAATAAACTCAAATAATCCACGCGACTGTTTATAAAAGCAGGCTTCAGTAAACATATTATTACCTCATTGCAATTTTAAAAAACAATCTTAAGTGCTCGCTGTTCTGATGCAAATGCGCTCCCGCATTATCATAGACAAAGAGCCCACAGACTGAAACATCTCTTCATACTGCAACTACACACTTTTTTAGAAAAATGCTTTAAGTTTTTGCCGAGCCTCGATATTCTAATTTTCCTTTATTTTGAGCCTAATTCTAATTCTGATTTCATGCTTGGTAAAGACTGAACCTTGCATTGCTTTTAAGTTATTCTTAAACTTCAATGGTTTTGAGTTTCTGTATTCTTATAGCCTACATTCTTATAAAAAAGGCTGTTAAGGAATTTTCTGGAATATCCCTGGCTCAAAGTCTCATTTGCTTTATTGCACTTCGAATGTTGCCTTCCAGAAAAACCGATGTTAAAGCTTTGTAAGGCAAGTAAAGAGGTTTCTATTTCACAACATTAGTCATTTCTCTAATTAAAAAATTTCAAGT